TATTTCATTAAACAAACCTTCCGTCTTCCTCACGTCTATTATATCTCGAAGAACAGCACCACTGAAGGGCAAGGAGGAAAGGGCAAAGTTTAGCCTGGTGACAGCCAGCCCTACAGCCCCGGGCAATGGTCTGGTCAGACGAAACTCATTTACCCAAATCACTTACTTCTTGATTAGTCTTGCCAGACACTTCCTGTTGAAGGGAGGGATGTTTTTTCTGGTGCTCTCCAGCAGTCGATCGGCAACAGCCTTATAGTCGAACTACATCAAGAGAAAAGAAATGTTCATCTGCAGCTGAGCCCTTCAGCCTGGGTCCTGAGAAGCATTTAGCAGAAGAAGGGCCTTAACGCAAATGTGCTGCCACCGGTGACTAGAATCATAAGCAGTACCTTTGAAAGGCCAGTGCTTTGCTTTGGGGAGGAGCTAGGAGGGTTTAGTTTAAAGTCTAACTTGAGTCCAGTGGCACAGGAGGTTTCCTCTCTCAAGCACATTACGGGGACAGTGCCACTCTCCAGTGACTAAGAGGATTGAGAAGAACTTTACCTTCAACCGTAAAGTCTAATCAGCTCTGACCCCAGCCAATCCAGAGTCATCTGTGCCTCACGGCAAAGCACCACCACCACCCACCTGGAGCTGTGGCCCTGCGTCTTCGGCGGCGACACCACTCTCTCGCTCCCTGTCGGCGCTGATGCCGTCTTTTCTTGAGTGATGTCTCCCTAGGGTGTCAGAACACATCCAAAGACAAGGTTTTTCTGAGCCAGGGACCTCACACAGCAAGGATCACTTCCAAAAAAGCCACTAGCTGAAGAAATGTCTTTCACTAAAGAAGAGAGTGTTTAGAGGACAACCCTGCAAATAGATCTTTAATTTCCCAAAGGTCTTCTGGTTGTTCAGTGCCTGGAGCAGCCACACAAGCACCTCATGTACCACGCTGGATGCCACCATCACAGCTCGTGTGCAGACAGCCGGGCCTCCTCCAGGGTCTCTGCCCCCCAGGCCGTCCTGTCACCATGGGGGAATGGGAAGTGCTAGCTGGAGCCCACGAGCACGGCCCAGCGTCGGAGCACGTGCCCTCGACTATGACCACAGGAGAATGGGATCCTGGGGTGTACTTGGTCTGACATAAAGTTTGAGAACTTGATAACAACTTTTTTTAGAGCAGGACACAAACTTTTCATGCGTTCTCTCCAAACTAAACACAAGCCCTGAAACTGTGACGTCAAGTGGGACTCCCAGCACCCCTCTCGGCAGGGGCGGACTGCCCATCGGGCTTCCAAGGCTGTAATCTTCGCGGAAGTAGACGGTCCTATCTTTCTCCCACAGAGGGGGCCGTGGGTTCAACTTGGTCACCTCTCAGCGAGCAGCCAAGAGCTTAACCACAGCACCAAGGATCCCTGCTGCTGCCTCGAGAAACGAAATGACGGTTCAGTCACTCTGACTCACTCTAAGCGCTCAAAAATCAACTGAGAGCCAGCAGCGGAGGGGGAAGGGAACAAAACCCTCTGCCCCCGAGTCTATGGCTGACTCTTGGCGACCCTAC